CGGGGGGGTTGGGCTAGATGACCTCTAAAGGTCCTTTCCAAGCCAAACCGTTCTATGATTCTATGATTCATAGAAGAAGGACAGTCTAGATCTAAAGCTGAGGTTCTAGCCCGGTCTGGGATGGTAAGATACACCAATCACAGACTAAGCACTCTTTTTAAAAAATTTTTTGTGTTTTTTTTGCTTAATCTAGATTCAAGTCCCTGGTCTTCACTAAGTTTCTGAATTTCTGGAAGAAATTTTGAATAGTCTGAATGACTGGTATATAGAAGTGGCCTTCATAGCAACTGCACCTAAGAACATAATTTTAATTCTTTATTGTGAAGACTTATTTTATCCCTGGTGTTTTGACAAGTAAATTGAACAAGAGGAAGATTTAATAACTTGTCCAAGGTTACATACACAGTCAGTAGTACACCTACTAATTAGGCTCAGATTGCCTGAGCCCCAGTTCAGTGGTTGAACTATTAAACACCCTTTCGTGAAAGTTTTGCTAACTTCGTGGGTAGATGAAGAAAGTGGATTTCTTCCAATATGCAGTGCTTCATATATGTTGTTTTATAGACTTTAGTCTTGTGATTCAGGCTGTCATACTGTCACACATTTTCTTTGGGTGTTTCTTCTTCAGGTGGAGAGAGGGAGGGCAGAGGAGGTTGTTGCAGCTTTTTCCAGCAAGCTTGATTTTTAATTTTATTAACAATGGATATTTTTAGGTTCCGCTAGCTTTATGTTATGAAATGTTCTTTATGATATATCATTGTTCAGTTCTTAAGATTATGTAATTTTGACAAGGTCAAAAGGCAAGACTAAGACTTCCAGCTTTTTTAAAAAAAAAAAAAAAAAAAAATCAAGTCAAAACCCTGATGTGGATCCAGAAGTTTAATATAACTGATAGAATGTGGGGCTGCTTACTTGACAGATTACATACTTAACTAGTGTCATTTTACTAATGTGAGCTTTACCATATGACTATTAACTCTCTTGTAATGTAAAATATCACAACTTTTTCTGTTTGTCTTTTCTAGAGTTTACAAGCTCTGATGAATGAGTGCATTGGCCATGTTATTGGAAAACCTCACAGTCCTGTTACAGGTTTGTACCTTGGTAAGGCAGAAGTTACTGGCATTTGTTCTGGAGCTTTCCTGCTATTGTTACAGAATTTTGATTGTAAAGTAATTTTAAAATGCTAGAAATACTAATAAAAGTATTTTTAAGCTTTTCATGATTGTTGATGTGAAGCCATTATTGCCTGACAAAGTGTAAATACATGGTGGTTTTACTCAAGAAATTTAAAGGCTTTACAGATGCTTTCCTCTGATTTTTGTCCCTGAATCCCTGTGAAGTCTTGCAGATCTTCTGGAAAAGGATTGTGGTTTTGGGCATTTGTTGGTTTGGTTTTTGGTTTTTGGTTTGGTTTTGTTTTTTCTTTTTTTTTAAAGGTTGGGTAAAGAAGTGGTTATAACTTTAAGGAGGCAGTTACAGCTCCCTCTCTCAGAGTTTCATTGTGGCACTGCAGATATTTATGCTTCTGACAGACTTTTGTATATATATAAGTATTGAGGTACAGAGGAGTTACACATGGGGGCTTGATGACAGAGCTGTGGGAAATAGTTCTCCAATATGACAAAATTTGTCATAGTGTAAAAAATGGCATTAGAGTGAAATCAACATAATTCATTGTTTATCTTGAGAAAAGGATGTTTCCTCAGCTGTGTTTCCCTTGTACATATCTCTTTCTCAGCAGTGTTTCTCTCTTCCTCTTCCAAATCCGTTAACTGGTCTAACTTTCAAAATACCACATCATCATCTTTTCTTTCTGATGTCCACTTCCTGGACAGGGTTGATGGTAGAAGACATGAAGGGAAGGTAATTTGACTCAGGCAAGAAGAGGTTTTTCAGTATTTCAGGAAAGTTTCAGTTTCAATATAATTTTGATGACAAACTCTTATAGCTGAGAAACCTTTCACAATTAAAGTCAGTCCAATCCTTTGGAAAGAAGCATAGCCTAAAATAAATTTTAGGCAAGTTCTGTACTGCGATGTAAAACCTGTACTTTCACTTTTGATACTGTTGTTCAGAGGAAGCCCCATTTTAGGTAAATGACTATCATGACGATCCCCAAGTACCAAAACTCTTATAAATGCTGTTGCAGACAAAGCAGCTCACACAAACTAAATTGCTTGACAGCTTTTGGCTCAGAGGCACAGGGAGGGGATGACACAGATGGATGGTGCAGACTTGGAACAGCAGGCTGAAACTTCAATACATGCAAAATAAACATAGAATCATAGAATCGTTTAGGTTGGAAAAGACCTTTAAGATCATCCAGTCCAACCATTAACCTACACTACCAAGTCTACTCTAAGCCAATCAAGGGTAGACTAGACTAAACCATGTCCCAAAGTGCCACATCTACCCATTTTTTGAACACTTCCAGGGATGGTGACTCCACCACCTCTCTGGGCAGCCTGTTCCAATGGTTGACCACCCTTTCCGTAAAGAAATTTTTCCTAATTTCCAACCTAAACCTCCCCTGGCGCAGCTTAAGCCCATTTCCTCTCGTCCTATCGCTAACTGCTTGGGAGAAGAGACCAACACCCACCTCACTACAACCTCCCTTCAGGTAGTTGTAGAGAACATAACTAAACATAAACTGTATTGTGGCTGCAGATACTGCAGATACCCCTTTCTATCTTGCAATCAGGAGAAAAATAAGAATTCCTAGTTCCGTTTGCATACCACGTTGAGGGACTTAAACCCACTGTGATCATTACCCCTTTTCCCAAGGCTGAGGATCCAGTTGTGTTCATACTGCTGGTTGTAGGCACATAGCTGGGGGTCTCTTGGTGTTTTATCCTGTCTGTTTGCTTTGTGAAACAGACTGTCCACCCAGGTGGGTTAGGTTGTGCCTTCTGGGTTTTCTACTAGTGTCCTTGAGAATTGTAACAGGAAAACCAACATCTGGCCCTGGCATCTTTTACTTGTCCAGGTAGTGCAAACAAGGCAGAAACTCAGCTCACTGTGATTATCTAGCCTGGGAGAAAGTACTGACTTATGTTTTGATGGGCAATCGGCTATCTTGCGATGTGACCACCACAATAAGGAGGGGTTGAGGGAAGGGGAAGACGCTGCAGACTACTCTTACAGGCACTGGATGAGCTAGGCACGAGGACAATGATGGCTCATTCAGGTTTGACCCTGTCCCTTTGTACCACTTCCTTGGGGCAGACTGTCACAGGGCCATTAGTATGGGTAGAACTGTCATATGTGGGTTGGTTTCCCAGCTCATTTTGCTTTCTATTATTGTCTGAGAAAACTAATTCTGATGCAAAAGGAAGGTAATAACGCTGTTTGCTTTTTAATTATTATTTGGTTTGTTAATACATATTTTGCAATAAGATAATATCATCTTTAATCTGTGAAGTTGAAATAATGAAGATGTAATTTTAGTGAAGTAAGTACACATCTTCTAATTGCTAGTTTTTACTTCTCTGGAGAATTTTCATTATTTTATAGATAAGTTACATGGTACAATAATATGAATAATATTAATACATAAAATTGATTTATTTAAAATTGGAATAACTTGGATTTTTCTTAAAGGATAAGGAAATACCTGCCAGTTCACACTTAACTCTGTAAAATAGAAATGTGTTCTAATTTTGTGTCTTGAAATGGCCCTAAAGGAGTTTTTCTGACATCTGAGTAAATGTGCTACCTCTTATGTTTGCAGCTATTCATCGAAACAGTCCCCGTCCTGTAAAAGTACCTCGGTGCCATAGTGATCCACCAAATCCTCACCTTATCATCCCCACACCTGAAGGCTTCAGGTATTTAGCATTAGTACAGAGTTCTAAACTGGTTTATCCTCTCTTGGCTATGCTGGCTGTCATGGGACACCTTTTCTTTCCTGTTGAGGGCAAAGCAGGTAGAAAAATTAGCATGTTAGTGATCTGAATTTTATTGATGTGCTTTTAAGGACGATATGGTTTCTTTCCCCTGCCCCCTCTTTGTTTTACAGTTTTTATTGGTGCATGCTTTCTCACTTTGAAGTGATTCTTATCCCCTTTGTTTTCCTGAATACAATGTTTCAATGCAACAAGCTTTAATTGAGTGAAAATTGTTCATTAGCAAGACTTTTATTTCTTCCTCACTTTGAATGTCTGTGTACATGCCCGTGACAGTGCTTTCTGTAGTTCAGCATAGGTAAGACTAAAAAATGTAGCATTCTGGAATATGGTGGCATTTCTGCGTCATTACCAACCTGCTGTGAAGAAGCTTAAAACAATGGATGGTTTTGCTTCCCTTTGAAGGAGTTGACATGAGAATTAATGCAAAAATAGTTTTAAAAATTTAAAAATAAACTTTGCCATGCATATTTTTACACAGAGGGCCTTATTTTTCAAGAAGATTAGCACAGTGTCAAACTCTGGCCTTTTTTTTTTTTTTTTTTTGAAAGTTGCTTAGCTGTTGGCAGAAACTAGTAGTACTCCAAAGGTTTGGAGAATTTGATTTTGAAGATTATTGTTATTGTATGTATTGACAGCCCCTGAAGCTTCTGAGACCCAGAATTATTCCACATAAAAGTCTTTATATACTTGAAAAACTTCTAAAATCAGTCCTGATTATGCACACTACAAAATTTTATTTTTAAAATAAACTTTCAACTCCATACATTTTTTTTCTTTTTTTAAACTGTTTCCTGAAGTTTTTCTTCTTGCCACAGCACGCGGAGTGTCCCTTGTGATGCACGGAACCATTGCAGCATTGCTGTTGGTCGCCCCGCTCCCGTCGGTAGCGACTCAGCTCAACCCAAACCTGTCAGCAGTGCAAATGATACCAGGTAGCTCCGCTCCATGACGTAGCAGCCTCATTCTACTTATATCACCCATATAACTGTTTCCGCGTACTTGCATCCTAGTAGATCATTTGCACCGTGCTTTTCCGTCCCATCAGGTCTTCCACTGGCTCCTTCATTCACGTTCGACTTGAGCAAAATCTTACATCTTAAAAATAGATAAGACCACCTTCAGATTTAAGATGTCTGAACATTATGGTAGTTAAAGCATGCGGTTCTGATGTAGCTTACAAATTTGCTCAGTAAAAATGTCCATGAAATTAACATATGCCAGTCAGTGTTCATCGGTATAACTTTACTAAATAATTAGTATTGCTAACTAACACTTTGCACTAAGATGACTGTAACATGCAAATAAGCCCAAGGATTTGGGGTTTTGTTGTTTTTTTTTTTTTTGTTTTGTTTTTTGAATGTTAGCTAACAGTTTTGGTATTGTTACCATCTGCCATAAATATTTTCAAATACTATATAGTGGCAAACACAGAATCAAACACATAAGATTTCAGGAGGGTTTTTTTATTTCTTGCTACAACTTTGACTTATTAGGGTTGTGCAGAATAAACTTAATATGAACAAAACCATTCCTGTATCAGGCTATGTAACAGAAACCACTTGTGTATTGTCTGTTTGCAGAGGTCACGAGTGAATTTTTTGGCAGACCTATGTTAGTATCTTTCTTGCTTTTTGGCCTCTGATTTGGCTGTTACATTTCAGACTGTTGGTGTTCCTTTTTCCCATACCACAGTCAGACCATTGACATGTCTCCCAAGTTCTCTAAATTTACTCTTCCCCCACCCCCACACCCTTGACTGTGAAAATCTTGCTATTCACACAACGATACTATCTTAGTGTTTATAAATAGCTTTTTGGATTCTTATTTCTACCGCAGAGTACCAAAAGCTCTCTTTTACAAGAGAGTTGTATGAATGGAGGCACGTGATCTGACATGTATCACACAGGTGTAGAGAAAAGAAAGAACAGGCAGTGAAGGAACAACAGATTGATGGTGACCAAACTGAACTTAGATATGACTTGATTATGAATTATTTGTCTTTTAATAAATAATTTTCAGTTGTTAGCCAGCTGGTTTGTAGATTTGATACCAGATGCACAGCAGAGGCATGCATTAAGGTGTTAAGAGGGAAGTAAGTTGCCACTTTTCAAGTAAGTAACAATCTAGAGAATTTTCACTGAGAGGTTCTGGCAGCTTTATAAGCTGGCAGGGTGATGGTTAATTAGTATTTATGATTTTGAAAATGCAGAACTTGTTTATTTGCTAGTTAGTCTTTACAGACCATATGAAGGGGATATTTTTCTAGAATATGTACAGCACTTTGAACCAAGGCATATCTTTGAAGTTAGTTAATTTTTCAAGAGGGAGGCAGGAGGCTAGTTTTTAGTTGTAGGCTTTGTTGTGATTTTATACCATTCAGTGCAACTTGTCAGGTTTATAATTTGACACACTTGAAATACACACTTGAATACAGTGGTATAGTCTTTTAATGTTTTCTGCATGTGTCCCCTACACAAATATTGATCAAAGGGTGAAGGTTGGCATTTTGACAGCTTCTTCTATTTCAAGAAGAGAGTCATTAGGAAGAAATGAGAATTCTACTTCTTAGTTGCAGTCAAATGTGTAATACTTCAATGGATTGTAATATGAAAGTTGATGTGAATGCAGCATTTTAGTTAAACTGCCTAGGCCTGTTTTAGACTTGTATTTTTCTTAGAGCTCCTAGCTTTTACTTTTCTAGTGGTTGTTAGTAAAATATCCCATGATTGTTTTTATTTTATATGCACTGCCTGGATTTTTAAGTAGCATTGTTTAACCCTGTGTATTACCTAGGAAGAATTTGAAGAAAAAAATTATTACAGCAGAGACAGAGTTTTGGAGGCTGTTAGGGTTTTTTAGGGGTTTTGTTTATTGAGGAAGGCAAAATATTACTACGTGATATATTTATAGCAAATTTCTGTTTTTAATATAGTTAAAAGTAAGTTGCAAACTTTAACACATTGCAGGCTTAATTATGGATTTCATTTATTTGTGCTCCAAAAGAGAAATGGAATCTGTTGGACCAAGAAAGTGTTTTTTGTGGTTTTGTATGCAAGAAGTGTGGGGTCCAGCTGCTGGAATAGCACAGAAACTTTGTACACTTTCCAGAAACCCTTTAGACATTTATGATGTGACTGTAGGCATTAAATACCTATTAAAAGTTGAACGTAGAAACTTGATAAATCAATTGTACTAGGTGGTGCGTAGTGCACAAATGCCACCATAGTTCTATTGAAGTTTTTCTTTAAAAAAGAAAAAAATCAGTTTAATATAACTAGAAAGTAAAATCCAAAGCAGCAATATCTGGTTTTTTATATTGAGCTTTCTGACGGTTATACATTTATTCTATGTTCATACTAATGACCTTTATAAATGTTTAATTTCTGAGCTAGCTGGGTTTATTATTCATCATTTTATATTTATCCAGGACTGGAGCAGAAAATTAGCAAGCCCTCTTTTACTCTATTTCTTTGCTTAGTAACATGCACACAGTCTTTCTGGACACACATAATAAAAGATCTCATTGGCTAAGGTGGGCCTGAAATGGGTTTTAGACACCTGCATTCAAAGCTATGATACTTAAGGTCCTCTGTTCAGCTCCTACCTCATTTTAGAGGTGGTTTAGCTTTGCTTGTTTTTAAGCTCTTTGTGCATCTAGAATTGTTGCTGTGTATGTGCTGGGAATAACCTCAGCCTTCTTGCTGGTTAAAACCTCAAATTCCTGAAGAGTACTGAGAATTTTCACTAGGTCTGTTTCCATTCCTCCTCAAACTTAAAAGATCTAGTTGGCAGTAGTAGGGAGTGCAGAGCAAACATCATATTGAGAATATTCGCATAGGAATAGGGCGTCTTGGGTTTTGGCTTCTGTTCTAAAGATTGTGAAGATTGTGTCTCCTCTCCCCACCCGCCCCTTTTGGTTTGGTGAGTTTTTAGTTTTTGTGTGTGTGGTTTTGGGTTTTTTTCTTTTTTTACTACTATTAGGTAATAATTGGATACAATTTGGAAGCAACTTTAGGGCTGTAGGGAAGTCCTCTCATAGGTGTGTGCACTTTGATGCCAGGTATCTTTCATCTTTTTGTAGTTGTTAGCTTTCAGTGAAGAATTTAACAATGTTCCCCGCTTTCCGGTAATGTTTAGCTCATACCTCTAAAGCATTATGTTAAAGGAGGCATCAGTCACAACGCTTCCCCACCATGCTTTAAAAATTGAAAGGGAACCTCGTCCAAAAGGGAGTTATTGTACAAAGACTTTCATGAGGAATTTATGGCTCTAAAACATGGGTGGGTTGATTAGTGTCTTGGGCTGGAGAAAGGTGCCTGAAGACTTAAGGATTTAAGACTTGTTTTTCTCAGTATTGTTTCCCTTTCTGTTCAGCATGCTTATTCATCTGGGTCTTATTCTGAGGTATCTAATTCTACTGTGTGCTGTCTGGAGGAGCTAGGGCCTCCAAGCAGTCAAGCTGATGTCATTTAACACTGTCTGTCCTGGCAGCTGGCTTGTGGCTCTTCCCGCTAGTTTTGACTTAATGACTATGGACTGTGACTGTATTTGCAGCGCACTAGGGGCATGTGAATTCAGTTACCACCCTTCATCTGATAATGTGGCTCATGCTATCACCCAGCTGAATCACTTCTGATTGTATATTCAAACCTGGCACCAGCTGCATCCTGCAGCAGCTGTCTTAGTAGTATGTTACAAATCATTAAAATGGGCAAATAACAGTTTCAAGTAGCTTATGTTTTTGAAGCTTAGGGTTTTTACATAGAGTGGCATAACTAAAATTATATCAAAAGTCTTCATTTGGGGGAAAAATAGTGTAGAAAGGGTTTTCAGTTTACCTCTCAGCATCACTTTTTCTTTCATGTTACTTTCATGGTTCATGTCGTAGGCTTCAGAGATTCTTTCTCTTTAAAACTGCAGTTAAATTGTCACTAGTAGTTATTTAGTGCAATGCTAAGCTAATTAGTACAATGGCTCTTTTTAACAGGGGTTCCAGTGTCCCTGAAAATGATCGACTGGCTTCAATAGCAGCTGAGTTGCAGTTCAGATCCCTTAGTCGTCACTCCAGTCCCACTGAAGAGCGAGAAGGTGATTGTCACAGTAACAGATTGTGACCTGGATGTGCAGATGGTTTATGTCATTAATGTATTTCTCTCTGTTCCCAGTTCTTACCCTTTCCAAAGTTTTTTTTCCACCTTTTCCCATTCAAAAATCTTAGATTTTTAACTTCTAGGCTTATATCATCAGAGTGAGTTCTTCAGACATATCCACTATTCTCTTGCCTTTCATACTGTTTTTTAATTGTACTTGAAGGGATTTCCTGGTGTCTTACTAAGTTACAGTGTTCAAAATGAAATGAGTAACATGATCACTGAATTATATACCCCCATTCGATAGTAAATTTCTAAATGCTGTTAATGATGTATGAACTGGACCCATCAGAGCAGTGAAGAGTTTTCTGTCCAGTTCTTTAACTACCACTGCAGTATTCATCTTACAAATACTTGCTGTTATTTGAATCCTGGAAGAAGGGACAGGGTGTGTGACTTGGTGTCCTGATCGGGGCTCCTCCTTCAGGTTTCCCCAGCCCCTGTATATGTGGTATTTATTACAGCAAATACCTTGAAATGTTGATTGTTAAGATAGTGTGTTCTGTGCAAATTAAAATGAAGTACAAAATCCCAAGCAAAGTGGAGTTGATATTGTGGTCATCCTGCAAAATGAAGTGGATTTTGAAGAAAGAAATGCCTTAAAAATTTATACTAAGAGGTGTGGGAGATTTTTTTTTATTTGTTTTTTAAGCAGGTGTTGAAAATACTGTCTGCCTCATGCTTATTCCCTTTTTTATGTATTTGATTCTGAGTGCCCTGATTTGAAGTGCTTCCTTCAATTGTGGAAGGAGATCTCTGTTCCTGTATAAATTAAATCCTATTCCAGAACAGCTTCCATAATTTGTTTTCTAAAGATAAGTCATTTTTGAATATGAGAGCATACATTGCTATATGGTTGCCTCATATACTTGTAGGGTATATTAGTCCTGATGTGTAAGATCTCAGCTTCTGCTGAATATAGTGGCATAATCCTTAATATGAGATAAAGCTATGCTCACAGTATTATTTCTCTAGAGCCGTCGTATCCAAAAGGAGATTCATGTGGCTCGTCCCGGCGGAGTTGGGAGCTCAGAACTTTAATCAGCCAGACCAAAGGTAGGTGTTTAGGAGTTGCTATAATGTAATGTCTGTTAAACTAGTGCTGTAACAAAAGGTTGAAGCTTAATGCTGATTGTGAAGAGGTTTTCACAGCTTTGTACATAGGAAGGGATAAAAATAAAATCCTGATTGCAGATAGAAGATACTGGTAACAACATCACAAGGTGTACTCTCTGAGGTAGGAGTAATTAAACTTCATAAAAGTTACATCTTTTCAGTTTCTGAAAGATACTGGCAGTATTCTGCAAAATGAGTACATTTATTACTATAGGAATTGAAGAAATTTGTCCCCATTCAGTGCCTGATTATGAATTGCATGACAGTAGGAAGCACTTCCTCACTTCCTAAGATAGCTCACCAGCGTCAGATTTTCTTATTTTGTGTGTCTAACAGCATGCAGTCCTACACTGTTTTCCAAATTCAAGGCTGTTATGGGGCTCCTTCCTCTGTCCTCCTGCTTATTTTCATGAAACTTAAAGTAACTTGATTACTTTGGAGACTCCTGTACTGTACAGAGATATACCTGTAGCTTGCTTGCATATATTCTGGCAGGGTGGAACATCATGAAACATTAGAAAAAAGTTTTCTGTCACATAAAAACTGGTCTCATATGGCTCAGACAGAACACAGGAAGAACAGCAAATTTTTTTTCTGAAATCTAGAAGGTTTAGTTTTTGTTTGGAACATAAACACTGAAGGAATTGAGTTTGTTTAAACTAGAAAAGACGAATGAGGGAAAACTTGAAAATTTCTAGAAGACTGCTGCAATGGGAACTGGTTTTGCTGTCCACTGTGAATAAAACAGATTTTGGTTTAAAACTACAGTGAGGCAGATTTAGTGTAGACGGAGTGGTATTAATTACAGGTGGGCACTAGAATATATCATTTGGGAATATCAATATCTCCAGCTTTTGGAGGCTGTTAGGAACAGGTTAGACTAGTGTCTGTCAACAGTGACAGTTATGTAATTTTTGTGCTTTACAAGGAGGGGGTAAATTAATGCTGCCATGAGATTTCTTCTGGCCTCACTCACTAGGATTCTCTTTCATGATAGGACTTGAAAGCTGGAGTTATCCAATACCTCTGAATCTTTGAAATAACAGATGCTATGAGTTTTCCAAGAAACCTCTCATATCTCTGTAGAGCAAAACCTTACCTATCCTTCTTTCCTTGGTGCTCTTAATGACCCTAACATATTTCCACTATCTGTCGGTGATTAGTTACAGGCCAAATGAAAACAAGTGCGTTGGCATTTCATACACTTAATTTCCTTGAATTGAGTAAGAGATGATTAGAAAAGTACCAGTATTCTCATTTTACTTTAGTTTCATATGTGATTCACAAGTGATAGTTTCATGCGTGATTGCTAAAATGTTTTATTCGTTTCCTACATCTTAAATTAGACTCACAAAATAGTTGTCTTCTAACTTGGGTCACTTCACGTGATATCAAAAGGTAACAAAATATAAACACAGCCAATATTTCTCAATCAAGGAAATTGTTCATCGCTCTTTTTAGACACTGCTTCCAAGCAAGCACCGATTGAAGCTGTTCAAAAGTCTGTTCAGTTGTTTGAAGAAAGGAGATACAGAGAGATGAGGAGGAAGAACATCATTGGCCAAGTTTGTGACACACCGAAATCTTACGATAATGTCATGCATGTAGGTTTGAGAAAAGTGACTTTCAAGTGGCAGAGAGGAAACAAAATTGGTACGTTCATTATACCTTCATTTATCAGGCTAAAATACCAAGCTTAGTATTTTTGAAGGAAATCTAAGACTATCTTTTGAAATCTTAGGTCTCTGCATAGGTAGTATCAGCTTTACTGAAATTGGAATGTTAAAATACAAAATACTGTTGCAGCTAGGATTTCCTTTATGTAGAACTTCAGTGACGTTTTCACTGGTCAAATAACAAGAAACAAAGGAGGAGAAGGATTTGGTTAAGACAGTTACTTAGGTACAATCCTGCGATTCCTGCATGTGTTTAACCCTATAAAATGAGTTCTGCTTTTGGGAGAACCAGAAATATGAATGGAAATGAGCACAAACTTTGGGATTTGTTTAATTCACCAATATTGTTGTTGTTTCCCCCATATGATCATTGTTTCCTCTCTGGTTTGGGATTTGTGGGGAAAATCCTCATATTCATGAGAAGTTTTCTTTCAGGTCAGCCTGTTAATGTAATGTTTTTACTTTTAATCAGCTTGAAATCAGGACTATGAATGTATTATTAGGTGTTACAGGATAAAAGCTACTTGAAATTTTAAATGAAAATAAAGGTAAATAACATAGGCAAGCTCAGTTTTCGGTGATGTTTTCTTATTGCAGTTGATGTACATGTTGCTTATTGAATGTAGTGTAATTAACTTTTTATTTTAATTCTGCAGGTGAAGGCCAGTATGGGAAGGTCTATACCTGTATCAGTGTTGACACTGGAGAGCTGATGGCTATGAAGGAAGTGAGTACTCTGTATACAAGAATCACTGCTGCCCTTGATTTCCAACCCCCCCCAAATCAAATGTGCATGACTTAGCAGGCATCAAGGATTTCTCAACACTATTGTTAGCTAACTGAGAAAGGATGGGAAGACAAATTGTTCCTTCATGTAGCCATGTTTGCTCTTCTCACTTGTTCCTCCTTAAGTTGCTTAAAGCTTTTTCTTTTCAGTTTACAACTTTCAATTTAAATGTATGTAAAATGGATAATGTTTTTTTTACTCATCTCATGGGGATGTTGTGGACTTAATGAATGCTTGCTTAATGTGTATGAACTCCCATTAAGAGATCTTAAATTATTTTGGAAAGAGTTTTCTGATGAGTGAAGACTGTACACAAACTTACATTTTACTTTGCAGTATTTCATTTCACATTTTATTTCTTTTTTCTTCATTCCTTAAAGCAAAAGATAGGAAGTGCCGCATCAGATGTTTTTCAGCTTCTCCTGTAGTTTAAGTGAGCTAGGCTGAGTCACAAAACTGTTGACTAACCTGGTGGGTACAGAAAATTTAATTTTCAGTATAGAACTAAGTAAAGCTGTGTAGGCGTAGAGATCCATTTTCCCTCCAGCACCTTTTTTTTAAAAATATTTGTATTTAATTTTATTGCATTTCTACATCTTCAGACAACTGCAAGCATCAACTGTTCACAAGTTACCATGCCAGCCATTTGATGCTAGATCAGTTACATTTTATGAGCCAGTTTTTCCACACACAAAGAGCGTATGCGATCTCACAGGTGTGGAAAAGCAAGACTGGGCTTGTGCTTGACTTCTTGTACCATACTCGTTCACTGACTAACTAATGCCAACACTTCAAATTTTTTTGTTGTTGTGGTGGATCATCCTGTCCTGTCATCCTGTTCCCCCACCCCGCCCCCATCGGTAGCGCACTCTGTTTCTAGAATTCAAAGTTGCTTTCTAGATGCAAGTGCTTGTTACAGATTAGCATGTATATGCTGTTTAGCAGAAGTTCAAGTAAGTTAAATGGACCTTGTTTGACAGACACTTCACTAGTAAGCTAAATATACGGTATCCAGCCTTTTCCTGTATTATTTTTAACTTCCAGAATTATTTCGCCAAGAAACATTCCCCGCCTCCCCACTGTGGGCTTAAATGCAAACTGTTTGCAACTTCCATATAAAAGGCTTTTCTAGATTTCCTTAAAAGTAGCCTGGGAGATTTATTTATTTATTTATAAGCTGGTTAAAAACATTGCATTCCCCCCACCCCCGAGATCTCTTCGGACTTCACTGTCTTAACCACAGTGTTGTTAAAATCTCCACAAATTATAGTGGACAAGCTTTGCTACAAATACATAGTATTGCAACTTTGAAGTATTAGGAAATACATAAAATACTTGAATGTCATTTGTCACCTTTTTGTAATCTCCATGAATTTAATTTTACCACTGTTTTAGTACAAACTTGTTCTGTTATACAGAACAAAACAATCATAACATCCTAGGGTAAAACATGTGCATTTATTTCTCTAGCAGTTATCCTGTACTCAATTAATGAAGTTTCTGCTTTCTACCAGTATGGTCAAAATATCATCTTCCATAAGTTGCTATGCATCTTGCTTAACTTTATGTGAATAGAAGCTTTAAATCAGTTTTTCAGAAGGCTTGATAATTTTTTTCCTCCATGAAAAATCCATTATGGCATATTGTAGGAGAAGTAATGAAAACCTGTTTCTTTCATCAAAACCTTTATGATTGTATTTGTTCCATGCCACACCTTTTCCTTGCAGCTGCCTCATTCTCAGTGAAGAAACCCCTCAAAGAAATTCCTTAGAATCTCCGCTGATGAAGTACCTGGCAACTAGTCTTTCCTGAATGATAGCTCTCACTGATGTTACTTTCAGATTCTCTTGTACTGTGTCTATCTACCATGTGTAAGCTAGAAGGCAAGCTCAGAAGAGATATATATGTGCACACATGCGTGTATTTATACATTTAAGTAACAGCATTTTGCTCTTACAAAGTTCTAAATCATCATATTTGTATGTAACTTTCCAAAAATAGTTTGGTGTTCTTTTTTGTTTAAGTTTGGGGATGGAGGAGGTGGTATTTTGAGGCTTTTTGTGTGATGATGCTGCTTTAAAAAAAAAAACACAACAAAAAAACCAACAACCAAACAACAACAACAAAAAAAAAACGCTAAAAAGCTTTGCTTTTTTTTGTTTTGGGTTTAGGATGGGTTGTTTGGTTTTGGGGTTTTTTTGTTCCTTTCTTTTTTGTTCCTTAGTATTTTGAAATAGTGGCAAAATAACGAAAATTCTTTCTTGTAGATAAGATTTCAACCTAATGATCACAAAACCATCAAAGAAACAGCCGATGAGCTGAAGATTTTTGAAGGCATCAAACACCCTAATCTTGTTCGTTATTTTGGTGTGGAGCTCCATAGGGTAAGAAAACATAAATTATTGGGACTTTTTTGTAGGGCAGAGAGAAAATTTTAAAAAAGTTTTGGGTCATGGAGGTTTTACTTGAGAACATTCTAGTTTAGCTTAATTGTCTGGATATCTCTGTGAATTGTAGTGTGTCTTTTTTCCTCTGAATGTTGAGGTCTCTGAAACATAGTTTGGAGAAATTTTTTGGAACTGGTATGTAAACAGGGAAGATTTGCAGTAAGTGAATAGAGCGAGTAATGCTGGAGCTATTCTGTGCTGCTACTCTGTTTAACTGCTCTAAAAGCAAGCTGTATCATATATGATATGGTAACTTTTGCATGTAGATAAAGACCAGACAGCCTAAAACCCTTCATAGCTAGCAGCAAAGGTTGTACCAATATCTTGTTGATTCCTGGAGAAATTTTGTGCTGGCGTTTAATCTTGGTGCCAGACAGGTATCTTAAGGAAGCAGATCTGTTTAATTCAGCTAGCATCTCTTCAGAAGGAAAAACAAGTTTTCTTGCTTGAGCAGCAGGACTAATGAAGCCTGGTTTTCTTATGGAGTTGGATTCCAGAGTTGCGTACCGAGATACCTGACTTTTTATTACTCTCTGCTTCCTATGTGCACTTCCCACCTCCCTCTGAGTCTCCCTTGCTGTATCTACCCAGTGAGGTGGGCAGGGAACAGGATGCCTGGTGTCTGGCTGGAAAGCAGTGTGTGGTTTTGACTGATTTGCCCAATATGAATGGGTTGATTTGCTGGTTTAGAAGAGGACAAAGGCTGCTTTCTGTCTGCATTTCTTTACTTGGACACAGCTTTGGGTGTCTCTGCCACTGGGTCATTGGTTTCTCAGGCTGGTTCTAAGAGCTTAGTGTCTTTGCCATCTTTTTGTATGAATTAAGTCTGGCTGAAATTGGCTGGGCCTGGAGACAGAGAAAGGGAACAAGAACCTGACTTTTCCTTAAAGTGAGCTAGAGTTGGCATGCTTGCTCAAGCCACAGACAACAAAAAACTTGCCCTCCCCAAGCAATCAACACATGATATTGCAGGAACTGGGGGGGACAGGGAACAAGCCCAGAACATCGTTTTACCTATTTTCTAAATATGCAAAGGATCTTTTTTGTATTTCTGCATAATATACCTACCAGATTTCCAGAGTGCTTTTTGGTTGATGCCGAAGTAACATGTTTTATACCACCAAATAGTATCCATTATGAACAAATGATGCAGATAGACATGTAGCAGAGATTTTCCATAGCTGTGCAATAGAATATATTAGGTTGGAGGATGCCCAAGAGAATAGAGTTGTGAAGAGATGATTTATTAGATATTCCATGGTAAGAGGTACTTCCATTAAAACATTACATGGTACTTCCATTACTCTTTTCACAAACAATGAAGGATGGAAGGAAAACTTGATCCTAATTCAGTGTTAAAAAAAAAAAACCAAAAACAATGAAATCCGGTTTGGTTCCCACAACAGGAAGAAATGTACATCTTCATGGAGTACTGTGATGAGGGCACTCTGGAGGAGGTATCAAAACTGGGCCTTCAGGAGCATGTCATTAGGCTCTACACAAAGCAAATCACGATTGCTATCAATGTACTACATGAACATGGTATTGTTCATCGAGACATTAAAGGTAATGTTAACCAAAAAAGGTAACGTTCTTGTTTCAGTATTGTAGATGAGGGTGGGGGGGAGTGATGGGAGACATATTTGCAGATTTAGCGCACGTTATCTATACAGCCATTAAGTGTATAAAGCCTTCCACTCGTTTTTCAATTTTCAATTTACAAGTTGTTGGCTAGTTACATGCTCCTTTTTAAGTGCAGAACATAAAAAAATGTTCACTGTTGGCATTGCAAACTCATAAATTCTGCCTATGATTTATATGGTTTCTGTAGAGGTGGTTAAGATTGCTGGGGATTCATCCAAACTCCAATTTTGGTCCTTGTGTTTCTAGTACTAATATACTGAGTTACGTAATGCTGTTTTTCTCATCTGTGCAAGAAACAGTGGTGTTTCTGGGAGCTGACAAGCAGTGTACAGTGCTTGAGTTGTTCATCAGATGAACTTTTCCTTGTGATTCCTGTTTTCCAGAAGAGTTCTAGGATTTCAGATGAATGGTTGATTAAACAGTAATAAAAGCCTTGTTAAAAGAAGTTAAAGGGATATGGTAAAATTACTTATCTAGTGGGTTATTTTGCCATACATTTATCTACTCGTGCCTCGCTCTTAGCTTTTGCTTACAAAACGAGCAGATTGGAAGTACAGTAACTGAAGGGGGGGGTTGGTTTTGGCATTTGCTTAAGGCACCCAGTGTCAGTCCACATTTCACATTCATTTTCTTTTCCTGCGCCTTCCAAGAACATCCTCCATGTCTAGTTATCTTGTTTTTGTTAGTCTGGCATTTTTTGCTTACCTATGGCAGAAACTTAACAGAAGGTAGGGGAAACAATGCACACAATATGCCCTGCGAATGGTCTTTTTATGACAAGGCAGTGCAACCCAACGATGCTGGGTTTCTATGTCCCTCTTGCTCACAGGGTTTTGAATCACCGCAGCAGTGTAGGAGGTTCCCAGTTGCTCTTGGTCCTTTGGCCTCGTGCTTCTCATTTGGGAAAAGAACTATCTACGATCCAGAGGCCTCCCACCCAGGTAGGCCACTCTTGAGTCAGTTTTGGCTTTTTTTTCCTAGAAAACACTTTCCCTCACTCCCATTCCCCAGCAATCTCGCCTTTTCTGGTTCTCCTTCCTCACCAAAGGTTTCTCTCCAGTTGTGGATTTCCCTCCATGCTTTTCACAGTGCCCTCCTTGCCCTTTACTTGATCATGTCATATCCAGGTTCTGCTTAGCTGGATTACGCTCTCCTGAAGCTCGTGGTGATCAAAATCCAAGGTTGGCTGACAGGGATTTCTTTTGTGCTGCTCTGTCATTGCTGATTTCTGGATTCGATTCCAAGTAGGTCTTCCTCTCATCAGGGAAATGCAGTGAAGTAAGAAGAGCTGTTTAACAGAACTGTAATGCTGTGTTATCTTGAGGGCATTGCTGTTGCAACAGGTTCCTCATACCAAATGCTGGGGTGTTCCTTGGGAATAATGGCAGCTATAAATGGAGCGTCGCTGCAGACACATCTATGTGTAGACCTTCCGAAAACTTAAAGACAGAATATGAAGACAGACCACAGAGGGTATTTTTATAAAGGATGCCTGATGTTACATTGGAAGTCTCTTGCTCTCTGTCTCCTTTTATGCTAACATTGCATCCCCAAGTTTTCAGGCTAACATCAGGAAAGAAAACTGGTTTTACTTTTAGCTCTTACGTAGTCAGGTAGTCTTATTTTTCTGATAGGGAGGAATGATAATATGTCATTCGGACTGTTAAAACTGCTTTCCTATAGAAATCTCGCTGTCAGATCACACTAGATCTCTCCTGGCCAGTTTGCTAAACTGTGGATCTCTTTCTTTCAGCAGCAGATAACCAATTCTTAGAGTAATTGTTTATATGTGTCCCGCAGTTGGTGTCTGCAAGTACCTTGTGCTCAAAAATTGAGTCTTTTGGTTAATAGTGACCACTTGTGCCACCGTTGTCTTTCAGATGCCATTATGGCATCCAGTTCTATGAGTGTAAAAGATGAAGCAAGACACAGCTGCCTTGAATCCTTTTTCAGCCCCTGGTTGTAAGAGCAAACTGAGGGTGGTGGTGGCTGCTTCTTACTCTTGGCTGCACTGTTTTTTATTAGTCTGCATCAAATGTGTAAAGTAGTTGGTGCTAGTATGTAGCAGGTGATGAAGTCTTTTGGGATACTTTGTTTGACCTCTATTCTGGGTGTTGGGTTTTCACCCCTGCGGCTAAGCCCAGATTCCTCAATAGTAATTACTTCACTTTTTGCAAGGAAGCTGTTCTGCTCAAGAATGATGGAATATGCTGAAGCGAACCTCTGGGCACCTCTGGTTGAGCCCTCTGTTCAAAACAGGGCCAATCTCTGTATCGGATCCAATGTCAAATTAGATCAGATTGCTCAGGACCTTGTTTAGTTGAGATACGAGTTACCTCCAGGGATGGAGATTCCCTTTTCTCTGGGCCCCATCCCAATGACTGACCTATCCCCACTGTGAAAAACTTTTTCCTGATATGTCCCTGGAATTTGCAGAGGTTGTTATTTGTGTCCATTGCCCCATATCCTTTCACAGTGTGCCTTTGAGGAAAAAGTCTGTTTCCATCTTCTTGATATCCTCCCATTACACAGCTGAAAACAGCAATAAATTCCCCCCCCACACACACACTCCCCCAGTCTTCCCTTCTTCAAACTAAACAAACCCATCTCTCAGCCTCTCCTTGTACATCATGTGCACCAGCCCTCTGACCATCTTGATGCCCCTCAGCTGGGTTTGCTCCAGGATGTCAGTGTCTGTTTTGTACTGCAGAGCCCAAACACAAGACATGGCACTCCAAGTGTGGTCTCGGAAGTGCTGAATTGAGAGAAATTAATTACTGAGGTCATGCCTGGTGCTTTCTCCCTGGGAGAGAAGGGCATATTCCTGAACAGTGTTCAGATTGCATTTTCAGAATGAATACAGAAAATGAAGGGGTTGTATGTGAAGCCTCAGTAAATCAGAAACTTGTGAATGAGACACTCCAGGCCAGGAAGTCTTCATCAAAGTGTTATTGTGTTATTTTCCTCTTGTTAACTTTGTTGTTAGCTCAAAATTTCTGCTGTTCCTGCCTTCATGTCTTCATGATGAGCACGAGGGAAGGATGGTCATTCAACAAGAGGTGGAAGGCTGTTCAACAGGAGACTACGGGCATGTGTCATGCTTTCTAAGAGACTGCGTAAAAGAGGATGCTAAAGCTGATTTTCTCATCAAAGGGTAGCATTTGGCCTGCTTGTTTCTTGAATGAATTTGGCTGCTGCACTGCTTAAGTACTGGCTGAGGAATGTCTACGAGCTGCCCCTCTTTGTGGAATTAAGCGACAGTCTTTAGTGGGGCTTTTGGTGCTGCTCCTCAGACTCACAGTATTTACACCAGCACCTTTGGAATATCATGCTAGTGCAATTTTTTGCTGTGCTTAATATGGGGTGACTTGGCACAGAGATACAGGGCATGAAACTTCAGTTTAAATGCTTTGGGTCATAGCTATTGTTTTCTCTGGCAAGGGTGCAGATTTTGACGTTTGCTCTTTGTTTTCAGTCTGTCCAGAAGGTCTTGCGGTATAAATGGCAGTAGGGCTGTGCAGAACTGGGCTACTTCTTGCGTCTGCCAAGTGCATCCAATGAAGGTACTCTTGATTGTGTGTAGGAGGAGAAGGAACAGATGGGTGTGTTGTGCCTTTTTGCTGTTTTAGCTGTGGTTTCCGGTTTTATTTTGCTTATTAACCATGCAGATATGGTAGGAATTTTGTTACGTTCCCAATCACATTAACTATCAAAGGTAAAAAGGATCAGTCATCCTCAAAGTACTGCCCTTGTGTCTCCTGTTCTCTTACCCAGGTCCTGCTGGATTCTGTGCAGGTTTCATCTAACAAGACAGCCCTTTTAAAAGACTCCTTATAGAGCTTGGTCTTGTTCTCTGAAACAGAGACTTTCACATTAACATTTATGCTAAATTGTCATTACTTTTTTAAAGGGACAAACTTTGGTTTGAAAGGCCTTCTAAGTAGGTTCTGAACTGGATTAAACCAAACTATCACAGTAGATTTGGGTTCAGTCAGAAGATTGTTGCACTTCAGCTCTGTCAGTTTCTACTCACTGCAGTAGTCAGAAACCACTTTGTAGCCTTCCATGAAATTTGCATGTTGCTTTCTTGAGGAATGGGAACATAGGTTTCTAAAACATCCTTATAGAAGTGTTGGCTAGTGATGGCCATTTTTCCTAAGCTCTTTGTGTGGGCTAAGTGCATCTACTCTTTATATGGCAAGTAATCGCTTGAAAATCACTAGAAAAAGAAAAGCTGTGGACAGTAGTTCAAAGGAGAAACTTGCTGATGGAGTGACTGTCACTCTTCTAACGCACTGCCCATATTTAGTGTCCTATCAAGCTGCCTTCTTGTACCGCTTTGGTGCATTTCTGGATTCTCTTTCATTCAGGGAGCTGAGGGATGGTCTACCCAGCTCCATTACAGCTGCCTGTGGTTGCAGGGTGACTCTGGACACGTACGTCCCTCTGATGGCAAACTGCAGAACCCAGCCAAAAGAATTCTGATCTTGAGTATGTGCAGGCACCTGAATGCCAGGAGTGGAAAATTTACGGACACAATGTGCAGAAGAGTTGTGTTCACTGAAAGTTAATTCTTCTTTCAGAACTTGTAAAAGGCTTACAGTAATTAAAGGTTGGAATTTATTTCTGTTAATGACTTCTCTCTCCCTTTTATAGTGCAGTTCTGTGTAACGTCTCTTGGACTAAATAAATCTCGCTTTAGTTATCAACTATTCTCATAGCAGTTAGAGAAGCCCTTTGAGAAATGGGCACGGTTTTGGCATCATTGACCTGCACTGCCTTTTTTTTGACTTGAGCTTTTTGAGGATTCTTTTTCTTTTCCCTGAATATCTTGGGGATGCTCAGCCAAGCTAATGGGAAAAAGTCATTAACTAAGAGAACATAACACAAAGGAGGAGCAGCCAACAACTCCTGCGCTGACCTATGTTCAGGGTGGAACAAAAGTGAGAAACTGTTCAAGGTTGTATTCAGATGAGCCATTTTTGAAAGAATCTTCTGTGTGACGTGGGAAAAGGCTATGTGTGATGAAGCCCCTGACATTTGCCTACTCCTAGAGTAGGCATACAGTTTTGTTCTGTGCAAACCATTCATGTTTCCTGAAGAGAGATCACAGCTCAAGCTGTATTTCTGCCAGGTGACTCTTGCAACCTACTTGTGGTTTCATTGTGATACTTGCAGAATCCAGGATTCGGCCTTGTATAGTGAGCTCCTTCTGCTCTACCTGTTTTCTGTTGGCTGTCAACATGTGTTTTGGCAGGACGTTGAACAAAAGAAAACCACTGGTTATCAGAACCACTTAGCTTATTTTGCAGTGTGGTTGTAGAGCAAGTGACTTGAAGACAACTGCAGATTCCCCTCGGAGATTTTCAGCTATGCTAGGGAAATTTTTTCTAGTGTAAGCTGGCAGTATAGCCAGCTATTGTAACAGTAGCCCTCCTTCAGAAATTCTTCTGGAAGCAGAGCACAATAGGAGTGGGCATTTAGTAGTGCATGTAATAAAATGCTCCAAGTTCCATTTTATAAGTCTGCTGTGATGATGCAGCCATGTGATATCATCTGTCTTAACAGAACTGAAAAGATGGCTAGTGGGAGGTATGCAGCAACAGCGTCTGCCTTAAGGACAGGTGTTTTTTCATAGTGCAACGCTCATGAGGATAAGCACTGGAATTTGTAAATTCCTGGAGGAGTAATTTCATAACGAGCATGTATGGGAAGCTGATGAGTTTGCCTGCCATACTGCTTTATGTTTTGAATGCTTCTTGTTGTCAACTTCCAGTACACTTAGTGTTAACACAAACCCACCAAAAATCCCATTGGCTAACGATAACGTACCCTCTGGGGAACATCTCTAATGCTATCATATTCCACGCATGATCCACAGGTAAATATCTAAGTGCGAATTCAGCTATCACCTGCTGTGTAACTTCCAAGGGTATATTGAGAAGCCCTCATTCCTCAATTTAGCGCTAGTTTAACAAGCATTACTGTTTTTCGTTGTGTTTTCTAGGAGCCAACATCTTTCTTACCTCATCTGGACTGATTAAACTAGGCGACTTTGGCTGCTCAGTGAAACTGAAGAACAACACCCAGACAATGCCTGGAGAAGTGAACAGTACTTTGGGGACTGCAGGTAAGGAAGCATGTGCTAGGCAGATACTTGTCTCGTTACCATAAAAGAAGATACCTCTGCCAAAAGTCTGGGCTACGTTTCAGGGAAACTTGATTTTACCTTAGCTAGTTGGATGTGCTTTACATCCAGAAGCCAAAGCAGTCAGTGAATGATGTAACTGGAACGATAAAATTGTACTTGTCTGGTAACTACAGAGATGCCGGAGCTTGTGTTTTCTGGGGTGGTATCTTTCTCTGCAGCCTTACTGAAACAGTACTGCTCTTACTAACAGCTGCTTTATTGAATTTTAGAAAATGAAAATAACTGACAGCATGTACTGTACCAGCATTTTCACTATCACTTTTCAATCTGAAAGACAGTTATGCTGCAAATGTGTCAAAGAACAAGCAGCTGGCAAATGACAAAACTTAGCAAGAGAAGCTCAGTGGTAATTCATTACAGATGTATTAGAAAGTATGTGGTATGCCCAGTTATTCACTTCATGTATACTGTTTCTTCTGCTGTATGAACTGACGACATCATATGTGTTGTTTCAAAGCGTACATGGCTCCAGAAGTAATTACTAGAGCTAAAGGAGAAGGGCACGGACGTGCAGCAGACATCTGGAGCCTGGGCTGCGTTGTTATAGAGATGGTCACCGGCAAGGTAGGGGTGTTTCACGTACGGAATGAGTGCAGACTGTTCTTAGCAGTTTCTCTGCGAATTCTGGTCCCACTCCCAGCAATTTGTCACACTTAAGTCTGCAAGTACTGGGGTGGTTTTTATTTTCCTGGGGTACAGAAATACATGCTCCACTGGATAGCAAATTACTCGCTAAACCTTGCACTTAGCAATCCTGTTACTTGTTGCAGAGGCCTTGGCACGAATATGAGCACAACTTCCAGATCATGTATAAAGTGGGGATGGGCCATAAGCCTCCTATTCCTGACAAAGTGAGCCCAGAAGGGAAAGACTTCCTTTGCCACTGCCTGGAAAGTGACCCAAAGATGAGGTGGACGGCCAGCCAGCTCCTCGATCATCCTTTTGTCAAGGTTTGTCTCATGGCTTTGGCTACAAAGACTGCAAATGGGAATCAGAAATGGCTTTTAGTTGGCTTCATCATTTGCAGCGATGCCGCAGGGCTTTGTGTCACAGTGGGAGGCTGGTATCAAGTTGATGCTGTGCAGGAAACAACGTTTGGCAACTTTTCAGAAGCACATGTGATGTTGCTAGCAAACGTTTGACTAAAAGACCCTGGTGTGCCCCATGAAATCAACTTTCACTGCTGTTTTGAGATGGATTATCTTTATATTAAAAAGACTTGTCAAACTTCAGCTCAGTGGCAGTTAATTGGATCTGAAGGGCTGTGTGCCTAAAACTTTAGCGAGTACCTATGCACAGACTTCTGTGATAGAGAGGTAAGGGTCCCCTCCATAAAAAGTGAAACAAGCACATGCTTGAGAACCGCACCATCCTTCAGTGCGAGGGTCTGCTTTTCTTTCGAGTTCATACTTAATGCTAAGTTCATATTGAATTTTACCTGGCAGTTGGCATAACATTCTTGCGTGAACTTTGGTTTAATTCTGTGCTTAAGAATAGGCAAATATTCACAGCTACAAATTCAGGTGTATGAGTAACTACTTTTTTGAAGAAGTAGGAGCACAGTAAGTTGATCACTTTGGTTCAGTAACAGTGGGTTTGGGATCATCTTACCCATCCCTCTCATCAGTGCACCTGTGGCCAAATCCCACCTATCGCAGAGGCAGAATGCCGCTTTAGGTGCATAAGAGTTGCACTGTGACGGTGGAAGCATCAGTATTCACGTATGAAGTGGCTGTTACACAGATAATGAGTTACAAGGGAGAAAGAAAGCTTCAAAGACGTTCCATGAAGGTGCTAAAGAAACTGATCTGTTGTCATCTTCCTGCTGCAATAGGGAGACAACTGAATGAATTGCCTTTTGTCCTCCCCACAGGTTTGCACAGATGAAGAATGAAGTTACTCAATCTCTGGCCTTTTTTATTCTGGCAAGATATCTTTTAATCACTACTGTATGTAATATTTACATAAAGACTGTGCTGAGAAACAGTATAAAAGTTGACCTTACGAAGACTGCACAAGTGACGAGCGTCACTTTCTCTGCTGCTCCTGTATGTTTTACTTGGCACATGTTGCTCATGTGACAGTGTCCGCAAGTTGGAAGAAGCTGCATGTTTCAGTGAAAGTGCCATTACTACTGTATATGGACCATAACTTTTTTTTGTTCTTTCTCCTATTTCTCATTTGATTGAGAACTGTAATGTTAATATGTAGTATTTTTGAACTCTTTTAGGTTCAGAAAAATGCTGTAGTGTTATCAGGCGTTATGGACCTTGTTTTTTTAATCTGTTTGTTGAGTGCACTGACTGTGAACTTTTACTGGGTTTTTTTTTGTTTTGTTTATTTGTTTTTGGCAAGCTTCAGATTTGTTATGCACAAGGCTGATTAATGAAATTTTAAAAGAAGTTTTTTCTCAATAAATGGTTTATTTTAGGAGTTGCTGGTGAAGGGTTTTTCTTCTGAAAAAAAAATATGTGGGGGCATGTCATATCTTAAACTTTTTTTCAGTGCTTGTTTAAGACTGCTAAGCTAACCTAACTGGAATGAGTTAATGATCATTAACATGCCTGATGCATTACTGCAGGATAGCTGGACCTTCAGACACTACTGCAGGTTGTAATACTCTTACATTGCAGCAGTCAATGTTTTGTCAAGTTCAAGATGTGTAAGCAGCATCTCACACTACACAAGTGATAATAGAATTAAGGTCCCCCCTTCATCCTCTCCCAAGGAAAGGAGGTGATGCGCAATTCCTGGCACTACCTCTTACCGAAGGGATAGAGTTATGGTCTGAAGTAACCTTCTTCTTGAATGCGAGTGCTGCAAACAGGGAATGGTCTGCATGGCATTTCTGCGGCCAAGAGGAGAATCAGTTAAGATTATTCTTGTGTTCTGTTTGGCAAAAACAAGAACTCCTTGTTGAGAGCTGTTTAAAACTGATTTCTGATTCTGGACTTTGAGTCCCCCTCCCACCCCCCAGTTGTCCTCAGTCTCAGAAAATGGAGAGTAGTTAGAAGTGGTTAGCAATAGAAGAAACAGTCTGCAACACCTGCTCTATTTAGCTTGTTTTGTTTGGCTTGCTATTACAAACAGATGACTGACTTAAAACTGTTACTTTGTAAGTATTACTGTAAGTTTACACATTCCTGTTACAGCTTTAGACCTTAAAGTGGGTAACTTACACAGCAGAGAACTTGCTTTTAATTTTTGGCTTTACGCTAAAGTCCTGTCTCAATCCACAAATCCTTGGCTTGTTACTGGTGCGGGCCAGCTTTCAGCAGCTGGGTGAGCTGTTGAGAAGGTATCGGGAAATCTGACGTTTAAATCTAGAAAAGCATGACCCTCACTGTGCAGGTCACCAGTGTAGTGTATCTAGGCTCTCAAAAAATACAGTGATGTGAATTTAAACAAAGGCTTTCCCTTCTCTTCAGTTCTCTATTTTCAGTTATGATAGGAGGGCAAGCACATTGTCATCCTCAGCAACTGACTGTGAAAGTACCCAGGGCAAAAGTCGTCATTCCCCCCCCCCCCCCGGCTCGGAGGGCCCCCCCCCCCCCAGGCTGCGATGTGCTTCACGTTATGGTGTATCACAAGTATCTGAGCAGTTTGTGTCCTCATTTGCTGCCTTTCAGGTGCCCCTGCACACAAAGGGGAACTGGGGACAGCTTTTAGGAGTCAGGACAAAGGTGGAAAGTAAACTGTTACTACTACATTGTTGCCAACCAAAAGAAAACTCATTCACTGCACATCAGCTTTTTATACTTTTATTTTTGTATAAACAAATGTTAAGACTACTTTTCTTAAGGCAGTTGTAGAACATACAGTTGCTTATGGGGACAAGGGGCAAACACTGCTTCCTGATGACATATGTCATTCTTTTAATACAGGGAACTGGACTAGTCTAACTTTGGCAAGTACCATTAAGCTTTCTCTGCCAGTGAATGCTGGAAGGGCCCAGTGGTGCAGTCCTTAGGTGCCGGGACTTCTGGAAATGCTTCGGAGGACGGATCCAGGAGTGGTGTGTTTGGCCCTCAGCCTGTTCTAAGGGTTGGTCCCAGGGAAATGGGTACAAAATAGTCTATATACTCTTCTGGAAGTATTTACCTGTTTGGTATTTTGCTCTGGGAGGTGGCACTGCATGCAGTTGGAGAGGAAAGGAGTTGTAAGGAATGTTAGATGTCTCCCTACCAGTATGTTAAATCAGTGGCTCTCTAAAAAGGCAAAAGAGCTACTCTCTGTCACTACATGAACATGTATTTGCTGCTCAGAATGATTCACCTGTGCGTGTAGGGTTTTACCACCTGGAGAAAAGCCCACTGTGTCTGCCAGGTATGCTTCACAGTAAAATACTAAAAATGCTAGCTTGGAGAGAGCTTTCCTCTCTCTCCCACCCCTTCTCAAAATCTTGCGTACAGTGTCTTCAGGCCTGGCTCATTAACATGCCTGATGCATTACTACGGGATAGCTGGACCTTCAGGCATTACTACAGGCTGTAATACTCAGTTTTCCACTGTTAAGACTGTGTTAGCAAATAGAGGTGCAGGGCATGTGCTTTATTAGGAAAATAGCTTTATGCACATGGCAGTATTCTCTGATTTCAGGCTCTGTTTATTTCATGTGTTGAAAAACTACACTAAAGCCCATATTTATGTTTATAACATCATACAACCTATTCCAGAAAGCTTCAGAGCATAGGGAATGCAGGTGTACACAAGACAGGTGGGCAGAAAAAGCCCCCCCCAACTAGTCCCTCACTTCCCAAGGCCTATTCCTTCCTTCACGGTGTACGTTTTACTGCCTCCACTCTCAAAAAACTTTACTACTGCCCCAGGCTAAAAGCACTACCACACCTGCTCTTTAGGTGCTGCATATTAAAAGGACTAGTTTCTCGATGAGCTGATGTACTGAACAGCAAATGCGTATTTCCTGAAATGATTCACAGTCTATTAGAGTAGCCCCTGTTTCTTCTGGCCTCTGTTTTATTATAGGAAAAGAGAAATGGTTTTTATACCAGCTGCTAGAACTAAGACTGCTCACTTTCTTTCTCTAGAGCCAGGGCCTGTTCATTCCTGGACTACCATGGTTTAGTCCTATGTGCAATGAAAATGTACCATCACTGAAAGTGTCAATCATAATCCCCACTGCACAGTAGCAGTGTCTTTAGATTTTAAAAGTTTGGGGTTTTTCCAGTCATAACTGCTGGTAGTTGCAAGTCCCTGCTTTTTCTTTTCCTCTTTTCTTTTTTTAAACAAGCTCTTTTTAGTAAGTTGCATACCCTTAACGCTTGAAGTTTAAAAACAAGAGGAGGATGCCCTGGAATCAGTACCAGGGGTGTCAGATTCTAGTTTTATTTAATTCAGAAGGGTGTCAAAGCAAGTCCAGACAGCCACAAAAACCTCTAAGCCATGCCACTGTCCTAGGTCTCTCTCCTACTTCCCCTCTTCTCCCCAAAAGAAAAGCAAAAGATAATTTAAGTATTACCTCAGGCTGACTGTTATGAGGCACCACGTAAACTAATATATCAGAAAAGACAGACAAGCAGATTAATTGGGATCACAACAGTATGGGTGTGGGCCATAACTTTTAAACGCACACTTTGCATTACTTAGTTACAGCATACCCAGTTGTTTTGTTTCCACCATTGTTAGGAAGGCCGAGAATTTTAATTAGTGTTTAAAGCTGAAAGGAATTTATTAGCTCAGTTTTTCCAAACTATAAATGGCATCTACTCCCAAAAGAATTACAGGTTTCAGCTATCCCTCTGATGTATTGCCTGGGGAAAGATGTGGCAGTAGGTGACGTAGCTCTGCTCAGGCCACGAGGCCAAGTTCCACTCAGGTTATGCCACTGCAAGGCTCCGATCTAACAAAGTGGGCCCTTACCCAGGGCCTGGCTGAGGTTTTAAAGGGCCCATGTGGTGCACACTGTGGGAATAAGTTCTAGATGTAGAAAAACTCTACTGCAAGTCTGCCAGTTCAGTAGAGCTGCTTCAGTCCAATACTGGTATAACCAAGCAGAGCATCTTACTGTATTTAAACACTGACAGATTATGGTTGTTAAATTGTTAATGTGATCTACACAACTATCAATTTTAATCGTCTTGTCACAATCTTCTGACATTTATCCATTCCTTAGAGCAAGTTAAGAAAGATAAAGTCTGTACCTCTGGTTAGTTTCCAGGTCTCATCATACAAGCACATTGGAATTTTTTTTTTCCCCCCTTCAAAACTTAAGACACTTCATAGGAAAACAAACCAACCAAACAAATGCAAACCTGTTGTGGAGAGTATACAAAGGAGGGCATCTTTCAAGCATGTCACCCAGCAAAAACCCCCAGAGAAAAATAACAGGAGCACAAATTCAGGTATGCATGGAAATTGCTCATCCTACCCTTCCTCTGCTCTCACTTGAAGGACCATGATATGCACTTATATTTTCAGAAGTCGCATTTGTTCCTTTGGATTGAAGCAGTCTCCAAAGATACTACTTTTGTTTCTGCTTGTTCTCATTGTTGCCATAGGTGGAGCCCTTGTTAATTTCTGTAACACCGATCATCCATCTGACACCAACAGAAGCTGCAAAATAAAAATAAAGTTAAAAGTCACTTGCCAAGACTGAAGATCTGTACAGGTACAGCATTTTGAAAGAGACTAACAGTGTTCTCAGCCTTACAGCAGCACAGCATTAAAGGTAACTACCCGTACTACCTGTACTTGACCTTTGAGGAAAGGTACAGCCCCACGCCACTGTATCAAGTAAAACCTTAGACAAGGCTGGCTGTGAAACAGGGGTTCTGTGGAGCCCACTGGTGTTACCTGGCTCCCTGTAATTGGGTGTCAAAATACACTGACGTGTCCACTTGCAAGGTGTGACAGGGGAAGGGAATTCTGCCTGCTTTCAACAGGCCCCGTGCCTGGAACAGCACAAGCACATGCAAGGGCACTTCAGATCGTGATTAAAGTTGTGGCATTTTTTAACTACAGCTCATGAAATAGTCTATTACAAGAGGCCAAGTTAATGTAAAAGACTTTTATAGTTGATTTAGTGGTAATAATTCACTATTCACAGGGATTTTGGGGTTTTTTAAATTATAATTTATTTGTAGTGTCTGAAGTGACTGTTAAAGCTAAACACAACTTAGCCTAAGCCCCCCCTCTCCCCTCACAGCTTTGTTTGGTTTTGTTGTTGTTGTAAAGGAGCTCAGCTGCCCAAAATCTGTTATTCCCCAAACTTCTGCCTAGCTACTGTACATATCCAGAACTGCCACGCATCTTTCAGACCTAGACCTACTTAGGAGTCACAAACACCTTCCCTCTGTGCAGAACGCTTTTTCCAAAAAACACCAAGAAAGCCACGAACCTCCCCCTAAGCCTCCAAATCCCCGTTTCTTCCAACTGATGGTGAAAAGGCCCAGTGCTGTGAGGTGCTCTAAATGT